AGTGTCCCAATCATGCGGCATGGTGTGATACATCGGGCACCCAGCGTAGCACCCTGAGGTTTGATTCTGCAAACTTAACTCGAATCCCGGAAACGCTCATGTGGGTGAAGTGCCACGATCCTCTTTTGGGCAAGAGGGAAAGTCCCATGCAAGTGGGAGAACGTGAAGAATGCAGCATCAAGGCCGCGGTTTCCCCTCCCTCAGCATCGCACGATTTCTGTACTCCAGTGCGGGGAAACGAATGACAGGAAAAGACCGAATGCAACATGACGTAACTTCAAATGCAAGTAATCATGGTGATTGTCTTCGACGCGGAGATTCTGCCGAAGGCAGTGTGGAGTGGAGGTGTGCAAGTGACGGCAACCCAATGCGACATTGATGTTATTGCTCTGGAAACACACAAAATATACTACTGGAAAGTAATTCCGCTGCTTCGAGATTCACTTTTTCAACAAATTAGCACGGCTGATAGGGCGAAACCCACCCCCAAAAAAACTCAGAGTGGTCTAGATTTCAAGGCTGGGGAGAGCTTCGGCATTCGACGGATGATGGCTTGTTCCTGCATAGGAGACTACAAGCTGGGCAAGTGCCAACAAAAATCCGAACTGACACTTCAAAAATAATAGTCGCACCATTTCCTGGGTACCGAAAGGGGCCAAGGGAAAGCAAATGATGCGTTGAAAGTCTTGGCACAAAAGGCAACGAGCGAGTGTCTCCGGGGCGGCCGGCCATCGAGCAGATCGAGCCCAGCGCAAGACCCTCGCCATTAGGAACCGCTCCAAAGGTATTCAACACCCCAGTCACAGTACGGGAGTGTGCGGCTGCTGTTTGCGAGAGACAAGTCTAAATTCATGCGTAAAGCATCCACCATTTATGTCACGTTGCCAGCGCTGTTGTGCGGGTACAAAGCAGTTTAGCTGGGATATCATGGATTCAAAGAGCTAGCCCGACTAACCAACAGGCTCGGAGAGGAGATACGATCATGGTTCCGGTTGGCGGCACTGAGTTATCTGCATGTAACACTCCATTTCACCAACACTTCCACCAAGTCCAACCTCCTCCGGCATGCGAATCCAAAAAGGATTTAAACCAAAAGCCATAGCTCACCGCTCAGCACTTCCTTCAGATCTTCACCGCGGATTGCTTACTGGTTTTGGGCGCTAAGCAAACATCTAGTGTCATCGATTTGACCTTGGTCCCGGCCGTTGGGAAAACATCCTAACCAGAACATTGTCTTGACCAACAGGCCAGTGATCGACATTCGCTGATGCAACATCCCCCGCACGTCGGGAAATCTGGAGAAAAGAGAATGGACGACAGAGCGCTTTTAACTGCCAGAGCAGGGAAACACTTCCCTGGAACGGCAGGTGGCTGACCGGTTGTATTTTGCTGACTTTCTTTCGCCTCTTGTGATCTACCTAGTTCCATGGACCAGCATCTTTGTGGGGTGCACATCTTAATGCATGATCAGCAAAATTTATCTATGCGGAAGGTCATCTTCATCTTTCGTATGATTTACATTGTCTCAATTGAAAGTCTAATTGATGTCTGATCTCGCGCGGAGGCACCCTGGTCACGTCGATTCCACAATATCCCTTGTGTAAACTCCAATGAGACGCGCGCCCCGGGAGAATCGTGCTCAAGGTAACACATCTCACAGACCTGGTTCTGGACTTGGCTCTCCATCCATCTCTCGATGCAACACACACGAGTCAGCCACCCAACGGCGGCCGTGTCTGAGAGCCAGATGCCATGAGGTAGATCAGTTCACAGAGTCCCACAGTCACCCCCAGAGTCAATCGCATTTGCCCTTGTAGTTGGATGGCAAGGTAGCGCGACGTCCTTGGCGCACTAACCATCACATGACGCGACGTAGCGCGCCCTGACCTTGGATCATGGATAGCTGCTTCCTCCTCTTCGGGCGGCGGAGCGGTTGAGTTAGTACCTCCCCTCCTCCTCCCTCGGGGGGTGGATACCAGCAGGGGACGGTGAACTATCCTGTCTGCCTGGAGGAGGAGAAGGCGGAGGAGGAGAGGCCAGGAGGCTCGTCACCTCGCCGACATGATGCCGGAAGCTACAGTACGCACGTCATCATGGAGGAGGTTTACTGACGGTTGAGTCCTTGCATGAGGATCACCACCTGCTCGCTCGGTTCATTGCTTTTACCGAACTCTTTCAGTTATTTCCCGTCTTCATTTTATCCGTCGCAAGCCTCATCACCCAATCTTATATCCACTTGTATGAGTATATATAGTGTCTTGGAGCTCGCGCAAGGGAGACGAGCAGGGGCTTCCATCTGATGACATCCGAAAACCTCTTGAACACCAACCTGACCCTCTTCGACACACCTTCATCCTTCTACCCTCAAGTTCTGCTCAGCTTATTCAATCCTTTTGTCATGAGAGGCCTGTTCTCATCCGGGCTGGCACTCCTCAGCCTCGGCCAACTCACCCTTGGCCAGACAAAGTACGAGGTCCAGAAGCCTCCTCTGGACACAGACTGGACCTACAAGGTGGGCACAGATCCCTGGCCAGAACATCCTCGCCCCCAGCTCCGTCGTGAAGCATGGAAGAGCTTGAATGGCATCTGGACATGGAGGGGTGCCACCAGTGAGGGTGATGTCGGATCGCCGCCTGCCTCTGGCCCCTTGGACCGCGAGGTCCTGGTGCCGTCCTGCATCGAGAGTGGCCTCTCCGGTCTGCAGATCCTTGATGTGCGCCACATGTGGTACGAGACCAAGTTTGACGTGCCCTCGGAGTGGGAGGGCCAGAGCGTGCTGCTCAACTTCGAGGCCGTGGACTACAGCTCTACCGTTTTTGTCAATGGGGTCGAGAAGACCAAGAACATCGGCGGCTACCACCGCTTCACCGTGGACGTGACTAAGGACGTCAAGTACGGCGGCTCGAACGACTTGTGAGTCTCAGAAATTTTGAATGGAAGTAAGCGTACAAGTCCGCTAACATGTTCCCAGGCTCGTCTTCGTCTCTGACCCAACGGACTCACAGCCCATTCCCGTAGGAAAGCAGACTCTGAACCCTAGCCATATCTTCTATCGCTCTTGCTCTGGTATCTGGCAGACAGTGTGGATTGAGTCTGCCCCGGCCAACCACATCACCCAGCTCGATGTCAGTGCCAAGCATGATGGTGAAGGTGCGTCAACCAATTCCTTCTCCCTTGCTCCTTAATGACACTTCACTTGCTTACCAAATTTCCTTTTCTTGACTAGTGACCGTCAACGTTCATGGCTCTGGCGACGGCACTCCTGTAGAAGTCACGGTATTTGGGTCAGACGGTGGCAAGATTGCGTCAGGCACCGGTACCTCTGGCGAGGAGTTCAAGTTCACCGTCGATAACGTAAATCCCTGGTGGCCAGAGTCCCCCACTCTCTACAACCTGACCGTCACTCTGGGCGACGATGATGAGGTCTTCAGCTACACTGGATTCCGCACCATCTCCAAGGGAGACGTCAATGGTATCCCCCGACAGCTTCTCAACGGCGAGTTCGTCTTCTGGTTCGGCACGCTTGACCAGGGATACTGGCCCGATGGGCTTCACACCCCTCCCAATGCTGAGGCTATGGAGTACGACATCAAGGTGCTCAAGGACTACGGTTTCAACATGCTCCGCAAGCACGTAAGTAGCAATACTCTCTCCATCCCAAACCCTTTCCCCCCAGGTTTGGTCTTTGGTCTTTGGCAAGCCCACTGCCAGAATCCAACTGCTAACCAGGTTTTCCTCACTGTAGATCAAGATTGAGCCTGATTTGTTCTACTACGCCTGCGACAGACTTGGGCTCTTGGTAATCCAGGATATGCCCAGCTTGAAGCCAGACACTCAACCAAACGCTGAGGTAGCCGCCGAGTTCCAACGCCAGCTCGAGATCATGATCAATGAGCACAAGAGCTACCCCTCCATTGTGACATGGGTAAGTGTCGGGACGTTGCCATCCTGCATCAAACACCTGCTGACTATTCTCAAGATGATCTTCAACGAGGGATGGGGACAGTTGGATAACGGGCAGCCCGAGGAGCAGCTCACCGAAGTTGTCCGTGAGCTCGACCCCAGCAGATTGGTCATCTCCGTCAGTGGATGGGACGACCATGGCTTCGGTGACTTTGCGGTATGATATCAAGAGTCAAACGCCCACTGACTATGGGGCAAAAACTGACCAGAGGATAGGATAACCACGCCTACGCATCGCCCCAGTGCGGCACACCTTTCTACTCGAGGCCCAAGACTCCATATGACGGCGTCCGCATCGGCTTCCAAGGAGAATACGGCGGCATCGGGCACAACGTCTCAATCGAGCAGTGAGTTCTCCAACTTTTACCTCCATCCTACGCAGCAAACATATTCTGACCTACATACTCTACAGTCTCTGGAATGACGCAAAGGCCATTGGCGCCATCGACGAGACATACGAGATCAACAAGGATCTCGAGTCCTACAACTGGCGCGCCCACCGCCTCTTCCGCGACATCCGTGAGCAGACGGAGGAGTACGCTTGCAGCGGCGCCGTCTACACGCAGACTACCGATGTGGAGGGCGAGGTCAACGGCCTCATCACGTACGACCGTCGCTTCAAGCGACCGGACGAGAAGCAGTGGCAGGACGACATCCAGAGCGTCTATGATGCTGCGGCTGGGAGAGGTGGCAAGTCATCTTCCAGGCGTTGAGAAGAGTTACATAAATAGGTCATAAATTCCTATCCCTTTTGATTGATTGCCTGCTCTCGATTTAAGTGATTCTGCGTAAGCTAGCAAGAAATGAAGCCTCCCAAAATAAGCAAACTAGTTGTGTCATGAGCAAATAATTAAAGACTGTCGCCGTTCTTTGTCCCTCCTTTCCTCGTGAGTAGTGAATCGCCGTAGTGTTCAGCGTAATCAGAATCAAAATCCTCAGGATTCTCAAACGGCCCATCGTGGCTGCATCGACCTCCTTCCTCGTAAATATCGAATCCCCATAGTCAACACAGGATCAGAGTCAATTCATCGAGATTCTCAAGCGGCCGTCCCAAACCCCATCATGGCCGCATCAGCCTCCTGCGGTCCCAAAAATTCAGATCCACCAACACTGACATCAGTCGGATCGCCCTTGATCCAGCCCTGCACCAGCTTTCTGGCCTTCCACAGGGCCACATGCTTGTTGTACTTGTGAAGACGGCCCATGAGCTTCCGCTTCAGCTCTGTACGCAGCTCCTGCGGCCATTCCGTCTCCAGCCATCGCATGTCACGGCGCATGAGGGGACTGAGGACGACGGGGTCCTCGCCCTCTACCTGCTTCGAGATGACGAACTCAATCTTCAGGCTGGGGGTTTCGGTAGAATAGGTCGCAATGGCGGAGAATTCGGCTTTGCACTCGTTTGAGGTTGCACAGTTGCTCGTGTCACTGTGCTCTTGGGGAAAGCCTGTTGAGGAAAACCAAGGAATCAGGTCAGCAAGTTCTCCTCCGAAGAGAAAAATGGGAAGAACATCCTTACCGCAAATATGGCCAGCGACAACATCAGCGTCGGCCCTAAACTCGAGCGACGGCTTCGCCAACTCCTTCTCCTGATCGTTCGCCCACCCGTTGAATATGGCCTCCAAGAACCCCTCGATGCTCTTCCTAGTGACTGCCAGCGACGCGTCCGGCACCGTAGCCCTGCCGCAAGCGTGGAGGATCTCGAAGCACTTCAGCAGCTCCGCCTTGCCCAGGTCGTCGGGGCTGTTGATTGTGCGGTGGAACTCGGCGGACTCGTTGTTGGCGACGACGGAGTCGAACAGGAGGTCGCGGGACCGCTTCGAGGAGCCGAGAGACTCGACCGGCGCGTGAGAGACAGCCGTCGTGGGGGGGTCGGGGGCTTCAGAGCGCATGCGCTTGTGCGGCGGTCGGAGGGGGTGCGCGGTGCGCGGATCCGTGGCGGAGGAGAGAGAACTTGGTGGCGGCTGGGAGTTCCTCATGGCGGAGAGGGAGGCATGGACCTCCGGGGAGATGGCAGAGGGCATCGTGATGGTGATGGTTCCTCCGGTGGACGAGTTATCGGGTGTGTTTCGGGGATTGGAGCCCGTCATTCTGTGGAAGGCAGGAGGGTAGATAAAGTGAGAAGGTGCGGCGCAAGTGACGAAGGAAGGATCAGAGTGCGAGTTGCAGGTATGTTTAGACCAGGTGTTGAGAAGGAAGGCCATAAAGAGTGGTTTGGCCGATTATTTGCATACCTTTTACATCCTTGAAGAGAGGGAAAATAAAAAAAAGGGCACAATAAGAAAAGGAAAGGGGATGAAGGAGAGTGAACGCAACAAGCTAGAAAGGTCAGATCATGTGTTGTGTATGGGTACGAAGAATATCTAATTGCAGTGGAGAATTACTAGAGTTGTATGCTGCTATGATGTTGCTATTTAAATGGAATACGGTGAGAATAAAGAGAAGACGTGCTCATGATAAGTTGAAGGCCGACCACAGGGGAAGGGTGTCAAGGTAAGTGAGGTGAGGTGAGGTGCAGCTGAGAGGCGCAAACCCTCTATGACCTGGTTAGATTCAGGCATTAAGAAACTTCAAATTAAATGTATTTTACACCCGATGTCCAGCTGTCCATCATTCAATGTTGTTTGTGTCGACTTGCCTGGCGTCGACAGGCAACTTGGTTGACAAAACGTTGATATCAGCCACTCTCATCCACCTTCAAGTAACACCTGTCGCTTAACTAATACAATACCCAAGTAAGTAGGTAAGCAAGGTACCTTTCTTCCAACTGGAACCAGAGCATTTCGATTCGATGATTAGTCCGCATCCCCTTCATGTCTAGCTAACCTACCAGTTGTTACCGAAAAATAGCCCTATGCAACCACATAAATAAAAGCTCACCAAAGGCAGAACAAAGGCAGAAGTGCAGGTCGGGCCTCAAATTGTGGGCAAACATTGTTTGTACCAATGAGACCAACCAAATAAACAAGCCCGTCTGGCCTCTTGATGTCATCGTGTCAGATGAGGCGCTTTTCGAGGCTTTCACGGCCCCCCACCCTTAAAACCAACCTATGCGACTGGCTCATTTTTGCATTTTGAACAACCTCATTAAGACATGGATAATGATTATCAATTCTATACACCTATGAGTCTTTAATAGTGCACATTAGTTTTTGTACCGCCATGTTCCACAGGCAACTAAATACGCGGTTGGTGGGCGAACATGGGAAGGGAAAAAAAACTATAAGAGAAGGGGCCGTTCCCTCTTGAATCAAGTAAATCCTTTCCCACACTCACCATCAAAACTTTTCTTTCACTGGAAACCCATCCATCTCCCATCATTCCATTGTTTGACTATCTCACTATCCTCGAAAATTCTCGGCAGCCCAAGGGCCTTAATTCCTTGAATTGGGAGATTCAATGTATCCCAACTCCTAAACAATTTCATCAAGCTACTCTTCAAAGATAATATCAAACGCCCCCAACCAGCACAATGGCCTATCAATCGGGACAAGGACATAACCAGGAGGACAACCAAGAGAACAACCAAGAGTACAGTCAAGGCTATTCCTATGGGTACAATCAAGAAGATTACAGCCAAGGATACAACCAGGGGGGCGACTGGACCCAAACATCCGGGCAATATTCCGAAAACGCTTATACCTATCCCTCTCAAGAACCAATTGCTGATGGCACATATTCTATGCAAACTGGCAACTCTGCTTATTAGGGCGGGGTCTCAGTGAATCAACAAGTTGGCGAAAGCAGCAATTCTGTTTACTTCAACACAGCAGCACAAGCAGAAGGTGATGATGGGGAGTGGCCTCGATTGAACGAAGAAGGGAAGTAGATTTTCCGCAAAGTGGACATTGATATCAGCGGGTATTATAAAGGAAAACGTGACTCTTGGAAATGCCGATATGAAAAATGCGAAAAGAAATTTAAGACCGAGTCTGAGGTTAAGTAAGTAAGAAATACAGGCTTGAGCCTACCGCATGCCGCTCCTGCATTTCTCCAGCCCGTTTTTTATTCTTACACGGTTACAGAAAACATCTCAACCACCATGTACGTCCAGTTCGATGCTCGGACTGCGGTACTGCAAAAGCCTCTCAAAAGGACATGAGGAGGCACTATGAGAACCATCACCAGAGTTTGGAGGATAGAACCAGGTTTCCTTGCCCGTGGTGCAATGTCGTATGTCTTAGAGAAGACAACCTGGACAGACACATTAAAAATCAGCACTTTCATTAACCCGCAGCCCCAATAGTTTTTGATTCACTTGCACCGATCTTCTTCTTCTTTTCTAGTATTCCTAGCTGGCTTTTTTTTCTCTTCTCAGTTTTTTATTACAAAAACACACAAAAAAAGTTGCCTTTGTCTCAAATCAATGAACATCCGTGATTCTAGTTATGGGTCCTTCAGGGTTCATATAGTCCGATTTAGCGACCAAAGTTCTTTCCTGATTTGTCATTCATCAAAAATACATGTAAACCCGAAGACGAACGGCTATGCACACACCGAAGTGAGTCTTTCCGAAAAGACATGTTTCTTTCTTCTAATCTTTCGTCAAACTACACAAAAGAGATTTCCAAAATAACATGTCTGTTTCGAGTGAATTCCGAAATTTTGGATAGGTAGACCCGCGTCTGTGGCCAGATGCCGGGTAGGTGTTCTTTGCCACGATAAGAATAGGGCGAATGCCTATTGATAGAACAAATGTATCGTAGCCCTCAAGATGTTTGGTTTGTGAAGGAAATAAAGTTGTGATATCAAAAGCTTCGTGGCAAAACTGCTAGCCTGTTGGTGCCGTGCATATGGCGTATCCTATCATGGGCACACCCGATCTGACATTCGGTTTCGTTCCGGGAGATATATGCGCGGACGTATTACTAAATGGCCTTGAAAAGTCTAAGTATAGAAAATGTGGCCTGGAACAGTAATAGTGGCCACCTCGAAGATCTATTCGGACCCTAAGCATCCATGATGAGACGCCATGTGCTGCAGGGGTAGCGGACATGGAGGCAAACAGCGTGCTTGCAGCCAGCTAGTTTGGTTATGGCACTCGCCGATGACAGAGAAGGTGTCAGGTGGCGATCCTTGTCACAGCGGCATGGGACTTACACACACTCTCTCTCTCTCTCATACGTGTTCCTCAAGAGCACATCATACAACGCAGAGCCGCAGGAGAGATCGGGGGTCAGGGTTGGCCAATCAGCACCGGCTGCAAGCCGAGAAGGACTCAATTACACGTTGAGACAGGTATCCGTTCGCACGGCAATGTTTAGCCCAAAGGGGTCATATGTAGCGACATCGAGGACAGCGAGTCCACTTTTCGGGTTCCACGTATTGGTTGTCGCCATGTGTGGCCGCTTTTGGAGAATTTACTGTTGTTGGTGTTGAGTCGGCCACGCCCTGCTCTGCTCGCCATGCAAGCTGCAGAACGTGCAGCGAGTGCAACCAACAGAGGTACAGGAAGGGCGAACTGGCCAACATGTCTCCTACCCCGGGGGCAGCATCTCTCACCGAACCCGCCAGTCAGGACAGCCCATGTGGGCCGGACTGCGCAAGTTCTTTCGGGATACGGTAAGTCTTCCACATCAGATCGGGGGTTCGGGTGGAGAGGAAGGGGTTCCAGAAGGCTGAAAACATCCCTCTTTCCAGCCATGTCATACCATCCCATCCCATCCATGGCCAGCAGAGGGAGGCATGTAGGTATTAGTCTTTAATGTATGACGGCCCCACAGCCCTCCCTCATGCACTTAGCAGGGCAGACTATTTGCCCCGTTCGAGTTATATGTCCCGACTAGACATCGCCAAGGCCTGTTCATTGGCCCCATCGCGGCCGGCCAGCCTGTTAGCTGTAACTCGCCAAATGCAGACAAGGCCGCGACTGGGCTAAAACAGAAATCCCATTCTCCATGCCACCGAGTGTCCCTTTTTTCCCATATCGGGATGCGGGAGTGAGGGCTAGGGTCGCACCCTGGAGATATATGGACTAATACCTCGCCCAACCTGGACTGCTTCCTTGTTCTTGGTGTGTGCCCCATCTAAGACAATACATTATAATACATTCATGTTGTTTCTTTTCACTCTTACTCTTCTTATAATCTGACTTACCACCACCGCGCGCGTCTGCCATCTCTCTCTGAGCGAGACAGAAAAAAAGTGTGTTCTGAATCGCCCCTGAAAGATACCACAACATGCCTGGCATTCCCAAATCGAAAGGTTGTAAGAGTTGCAAGAGACGCAAGATAAAGGTGAGGATGCAAAATTCACACATGCTGACAGCACTCGTATTTTCCTGCTCGATTCCCGGCATTTCGTCTCTTCTCCTCCAATTCGATACAATCTTGGTCTTGGAAAATAGAATGCTTATTCCTGACACACCATTTCTAGTGCGATGAGCAATGGCCTACATGTACACCATGCCGCCGGTCATGCTCCCGATGTCCAGGACCATCATCGGTATTCAAATTCGTTCACAATGGGCAGCATTCAGTCCCCAGCAGCGCCATGGCGCAAAATCCAAATCTGACGGACCAGACGGACAACAAGGACCAGCAGGAGGGGTTGGAAATGTTAAGGAGGTCCTTCCCAAGCACAACCGACGGTAGTTGGTATGGCGCATTCCGCCTCAATGGATCGCCTCGAAGCCCAAGGGCACCCACGAATATGGGCGGGATGTCCCACCAACGGCAGCTCTCAACAGAGTATGCGTTCCCGTCGCTGGCCGCAGAGATACCCGAAGATGACGACGTCCACACCAGCCATGTTCATCGTCTCCCAGGCTTACATACCATAACTAACCAGGACCCCTCGCGTCGACGGGACTTCCTATTGGTCGACCCGAACCTGTTTGCCAAAACGGAGCTGGGAGAGGGCGCGAGTAAGCCGCCCGAGGTCTCTGTAGACCCTTAGCGCGTAAGAGTCTGGGTCAGGAGGGCTGGGTTTACCAGGGGCGCAACGATACAGGACGAAACGCGGAACTCTGAGGGGACGGGAGCGGAATTTTCTTACTGGAACTACCGATTGTGTATTCTCACCATACCAGGGGGGTGTCGGGTTTCTTAGAATGGGGCGGGATATTTGCTTACTGAAATTCAGCTGGGGATGGGTTTCTCCTCAGATCAGGGGTGCGCAAAAGGCGCGCTCCCTGCCTTGTGGTTTATACGGATTGGCTTTTTGGGAATTTTTTGAAACGACGTCTTGGATTCTGGATGCTGGTTTGCCCGGTCTATGAATGAACTATTTATGATTTTAACTATGATTTTAAAGATAGATGGACGGTGAACTCGGTGTGATCTCCCCACAATTGCGAATTCCCACTGTGGCTTCCATAGTCGGTTTCCAAACCCTGAATATTGTCAATGACGAATCCCACTTTGTGAGATGTATTGCTTCGGGCACCCAAATCCAATATTTAGACCCCCAGTCAACTTGAAGCGGCAGTCGTGAAAGGATGGCCATGGCATCCTTGATTCCTTGCCGGGGTTATAGCTGTCCAGGTCCTGGTCCTCAGACTAAGCGACGTCTCTCACGAGGTAATCAATCTTGCGAAGGAAGTATTTGCTTCAGAGAACTGGCTGGATCGAAGTGTATAATGTACAATGGTGAATTTCTGCTCTTTGACACGTCGTCATCGCCGGCGTTGCCAACATCAAGGGCTGGTATGCCCTCCGCATGGCCTTGTCCCCGCGGCTTCTGCCGGCCTTGCTGACCATTACCACGAGGCATCTTTGGTGAGAAATAAGCCTGCCGGTAGTTTCTGATAATCCACAAAAAAAGGGAATAAGATGTAAAGCGGGATAAATACCTACCTACCTACCTACCTTTAGGCTCCTAGTGCGGAGCTTTGACTTTGCTGGACCTTGGCTTTTTTCTTGTTCGGGAGAAGTACTGCGCGGGCTGAGCTGATGGCCGCGTGCTAGCGAGCTGCCCTGACCCATCGCCGTCCCCCTTGGCTGGGTCGGGCAAAGATGGGTTGGTGATGGCCGACAATTAGCTCTCGCGGCTGGCTTGCAAGCGGCCGCGCTAATCGCGGTGGTGTGTGTTTTGATGCGAAAACGAGCAAATGACTCGCATTGTCCGTTGGGTGTGATTGCGACCTGACATGCGTCGGTTGGACTGGCAGATGGAACCTTGGTGCATGGGAAATTCTCCTCCGGAGCAGCACTTCTGATATGCATCACAAGTGCCTTTTGACTCAATGGCGTCTCGCTTGATAGAGAAAGATCCCCAGCACACACGCCGCTGCCGTCACATCCGGGGTTCGTCGGCGGCACATTCTCCTCATTGCACATCCCAAAAAGGCTCCTTGCCTCACTGCCAAGCTTTCCGGGCGGCTTTCCACATGTGTAGGCGGGGGACTTGACCAGTTCAGGCAAGATAATTCGAAGAGGAGATACATAGGTGGGATGCAGCCAAAAAAAAGTCGTGGGGGCAAGGATGACAAAGGCGCGCTGAGCCTGTTGGCAATCATCTCTGCGACAGACTTCATTTAGACTTCTGCTTAAAATCGTCTAGCAGGTGAGGCATTATGGGACGACGACAGGTGGCAGTTAGCTGTCTCGTATTGTGATACGACGTGCTCCATTGAGAAGATCATTGCCTCGCATTACGAGAGACTGAGTAAGTCTTTGACTTTTCTTTTCTGAGGCAAAATCCTTAGTGTTGGTGATAAGGTTGGGATTATTATATAAGTACAGGTTCAGTAATGCATTAGTTACAGTACATATGCGGGTTGGGATGCATCAATACCACCCTCTTCGAGTATTTGTACTTCAATAGGATACAACAGCGAGAGCCGAGGGAGGGGGGAGAGCATGATTGCCGACTCCCATTCACCCGCTGTAATCTTCTGTCTGTCTGATAGTGTCCTCGGCCAAGTCATACAGCTCCTGGATCCTCTCCATCAGGGCGCCATCGTACGGCGGGGCTTCCATCATGCCGCTAACAAATGGCCCCTGGACACCCCAGGTGCATCCGAGAACATGGTCTCGGATATGCACTAGCAGAGCTTTGACATCATCGTCAGCAGTTAGGCCAGTTGCCATCATTTCTTGGAGCACATCCAACGCTGATAAAGCGTCGCCAAAGCGGTTCCAATGGATGGCAGCGAGGGTGGTGTAGAATTTGGTAGAGACACCCAAGACGTAGGATGGAAGACCAAGGGACCTAACCCGGGGCAGGATCTGGAGAGCAAAAGGAGATGGCGTAGCAAATGAAGTGTCGAACAGGGTAAGTCCATGATTCAGATATTGAGAATAGAGGGGGCCATCGATGTCCATGATGTGCTTCCGGCCTTGGCCAGCCCCGTCCTTAGCCGCAGCGCTCTCGACGGTTGTAGGCTCATCCGCAGGTGCTGATGCCTTGGATGATTTCCTTCCTCTTCGCGTAGGCTGGTTCTTCTTCTCCTGAGTGGCGATCCCCAGCTCTTCGGGCAACGAGAACACGTCCGTTTCCATCAACTTCCATAGCTCAGCATCGGTCTTGCACGCTTTCATGAGCGCATAGACCCGATTCTTTTCCTTCTCCCTTATTTGCTCAAACCTGGTCCGTTCCGCCTTCTGTTCGTGTGTCTCCGTCTCAATCACCGCAGCGCCATCTTTGAGCTCGAACAGGCCGAGGGCGAGTTGTGCTGCCTCCCGCAAAGACTGTGGAAACCTGGATAACACCCTCTCTCGAAAATCGGTCATACGGGCTTGTACAACGATGGAACGGGAATTCGCATCGGGCGAAGAAACCCCAAGATCCTCTTTAGGCAGATCGCTTTCGGTGGAAGGCGTTGGGCGCCTGGCTCTAGCTCGGGGCATCTTTCCCTGGGCTATCTCGTCGAAAATGTTCTTGAAGATATGCGCCTCAGAGGGCGTGATCGTCGAAGGCTTCTCATCCTTTTTCGATTCACCTAGGCGACCACTGTGTCCCAGAGAGTGATCCTCTTCCGGAGGGGGTACGTGGGTCCAATCAAATGGGATGGCAGTATCTTTGCTGGAGCGAGGTTGTCGCTGATATGCGTATGATCGCGAAGCGATTCGGGCTGAATTTTTTAAAGCTCGTTGCAGTGTCCTTGTCTGATAAAGGAACGGAGTAAGTGTTGAAGACATTGCGTGTAGATTTCTCATGCCCTCTCGGTTTCCATGCTGGACAGCATTTGACTGAGAAGCAATTGGTGATGATCGTAGAAAAAAAAGTAGCAGTTCTTCTGCCGGGAATTACCCGGCGCACGCGAAATCAGGGTCCGCGGCGTGACCACGCGCCGGAAATCAATTAAACTTTGACGCGCCAGTCGCGTCACCTCACGTTCACATTTGTAACTGTTCACAATACTTTGAGTGCTTCTCTGTGTAACTGCATTACGGATTCGTCCATTCTGCTTTTGGGGTCAGGATAAATGAGGACTTATTCTTGAAATTATTGTTTTTGAAAATGCCTGAGGAAAAGGGGAAAATTAGTGCTTTCGAGCGCAAGCGATTGGCGAACATAGAAGCCAACCGTGAAGTTCTCACGGACATTTCCAAAACCGCCAAAAAGGTTATCCCGGACAAGCCCGCACCAACCCCCAAAAGAAAGACGAGAAAGAGTGAACCGATCAAGCGCGAGTATGCTCGCCCTACACGCACCAGCTCCCGCCTTGCCGGGCTTGATGCGGACAATGAGACCCTGAAGCGCAAAATGGAGGTCGAGGCCGAATCACAAGCTGCAGTGGCCAAGGCGAAGAAGATGCGAGTCTCTGGTGACTTGGATCTCGGAGACATTGCGGTAGAGGGCAAGAAATGGGACAATGGGATCACCGGGATCAAAGGACTTATCCGTGGAGCTCAGCCAGGCGTCAGAACCTTCACTGAGGATGATGTGAAGGAGACTACGGATCAGAACCTGAAAGAGTTAAGACAGAGAATGAACGGACTGAAGCTTTATGAGCATTGGTCGCCTCAAGGTGAGCCTCAATCCTATGACGGGATGGCAGGCGACTTGTACTAACTTGGATTAGACATCAAAATCACTCCACAGCGTGTGTATGCACTTGGGTTTCATCCAACAGAAGACAAGCCCATCATTTTTGCTGGTGATAAGGAAGGCAACATGGGGGTTTTCGATGGTTCTCAGACAGCACCGTTTTCTGAGGATGATGAGGAGACCGAGTATCAAGACCCCGTTATATCGGCGTTCAAAACACATGCCCGCACAATCACATCGTTTGTCTTCTCTTACGAAGATCACAATGCTGTTTACTCATCCTCTTACGACTCGTCGATTCGAAAGATGGACTTGGAGAAAGGGACGTCAGTCCAAGTGTACGCACCCAAAGACGCAGATGTGGACATGCCCATCTCGGCTCTCGACATTTCTGCAGAAAATCCCAACGTGCTTTATTTCTCCACGTTGGAGGGGGGCGTAGGCAGGTATGACGTTCGAGGTCCCCAAACCGACGAGATATGGGGTTTGTCAGTTCAAAAGATTGGCGGATTTTCTCTGCACCCTCTTCAGCCTCATCTACTCGCCACAGCGTCCTTGGACCGCACATTGAAAGTTTGGGATCTGCGGAAAATTACTGGCAAGGGAGACATGCGACATCCGGCGCTACTGGGCGAACACGAATCCCGACTGTCCGTCTCCCATGCTTCTTGGAGTCCTGGAGGCCACATCGCCACATCCTCATATGACGATACGGTCAAGATTTACGACTTTTCTGATTCCAGCTCCTGGAAGGCAGGCCACGAGATTGGCCCCAAGGCGATGAAGCCGGCACATCAAGTCAGACACAACAATCAGACCGGCCGATGGGTGACGATCTTGAAGCCGCAGTGGCAGCGACGGCCAAACGACGGCATTCAGAAGTTTGTTATCGGAAACATGAACAGATTTGTCGACGTGTTTGCTTCAGATGGGAGCCAGCTGGCTCAGCTCGATGGAGAGGG